GACACTCGGGTTGCACTCAGTGCGAGTGATATAACAACTTAGACGCACCCACGGAGTAGTCACACTCACCTGCTCGACTATGTCATCGTACGTCAGCGTGATATGAGTGAAGTGCGCATGACACGTGTACTGTGTCGAGCTGAGTATGGCACTGATCAGAAAATCGGTGCGGACCAAACTGTACATATATTTTCGCAAATCTATGTAGGACACTCCTGCTGTGAGTCGGCGTATATTTAACACTCTCTTCCTCGGTACTGTGGAGAAACGTATTGAGCTGGAGAAGGCCACGTCTGCGCGCCTGTGTGATGTGGAATTCATAGCCACAGTGGGCAACCTGTGGCCCCACATTCGCGACCAGGTGACAGCTGCTACCGAGGAGACCATTGGGCCCGCAAACTGTAAGCAGCCTGATTGGTTAGACGAGAACAAAAAGACGATTGGCGTATTGGTGTGGGAGAAGAATGCAGCATTTGCTGCACATATGGCGGACGCCAGTGACTTGGGGAAGAAGAGTAAATTTGGCAGAATTCGACGACGACTGACCCGGCAGCCTCGTCGCATAAAAAATGCTTGGTGGACGGAGAAGGCAAAGCAGATGGAATGCTACACAATACGCCGCCAACACAAGGAATTCTTCCACTCCTTGAAGGAGGTGCATGGACCGAGGTTCCAGCCACTGAGAACACTGACCGATGGTAGTTCAGGCGTTACTTGCACACAGACGGCAGACATAATGCACATCTGGCGAAAACACTTTGACTGTCTCGTGAACAACCGTTCAGAGACTGATTGGCCTACTATGAACGGTCTGAGGTAGCACGATGTGGAGGCGAGTCTGGCGGACACCCTGACACTGAATGAGACGCAGAGAGCACTTGCTCAGCTGCGAAACGGCAGGTGAGCTGGGGCCGAAAGGATCCCGCTTGAAGAATTGAAACACGGTGGACCCGCGTTGGTGACTGCGCTGCACCAACACGCGTGGATTGAGGAGGAGGTGCCTCTTGAACTGAAGGATGCCCTTGTGCTACCACTGTACAAGAGCAAAGGGGGCAAGCAATGTGCCACAGATTACCGTGGCATCAGTTTGCTGAGTTAGATGAGCAAGGTGATTGCCCAAATCCTGCTAAACCGCCTCGTCGGTTAGATTGTGGAACCGAAGGTGACGGAAGAGCAATGTGGATCCCGTTCGGGTCGCAGCACCATCGATATGGTGTTTGCAGCTCGTCGGTTGCAGGAAAAGTGCAGGGAACGACACCAGCCGTTGTACTCACTATTTGTTGATTTCACCAAGGCATTTGACACAGTGAACCGCGGGGCATTGTCGCCCGTGCTGGGTAAGTTGGATTGTCCCAGTAAGTTTGTAAGTTTAATCGAATGTCTACACAGTGGTATGCAGACGAAGGCGCAGCTGAGTGAACAGACCTCGGATGATTTTGCAGTTATCTCTGGTTTGAAGCAAGACTGTGTCTTAGCTCCTGTCCTGTTTAGTATTTATCTTCATGCAAAGATGTGCTTTTAATGCGGCTTGTGCTTACAGTGTTCGTGTGGAGCACGGTATTGGTTCCGACAGCGGCCAAATTCGGACTCGCCATCAACAAAAGCAAAATCAACTGTCTCTTTCAGGCTTCACAGGAGGTGCAATCTACAATGGTGCCGCGAATCAGCATTGGTGATGAAGTGTTGGAAACCACCTCCCGTTTCTGCTACCTTGAGAGTGTGGTGTCGATTGACAAGCAGCTATACAGTGAGCTTCGTATCCGCGTCTCAAAAGCAGTGGCGGCGTTCGGGAAGCTCGAGTAACGAGTGTGGAACAACCATCAGCTTACTGTTGGCACGAAGCTGATGGTATACCAATCCAATGTGTTGTCCGTTTTGCTATACGGCAGTGAGACGTGGACGATGTACTGGCGGGATGGGCGATATCTCGAGCGGTTCAATCAACAGTGTATGCGACGGATGCTGCGCATCGGATGCGGCGACAGAGTTGCTGACACGGAAGTGTTGCGACAAAGTGGAATGTATACAGTGGGATGCATACTTTTGTTGAGACACCTTAGCTGGTTCGTCATGTGTGGCGTATGGATTCGACGCATCGAAGCAGCTATTATATGGTCAACTGAGTTTGGGGAAGCGGCATGGGGGGAAACCGTAGCTTAGTTACCAGGACATGATCAAACTGAGCCACTCATGTTCTAGTCTTGATTGCAGGTCATGGGAATCGAAGGCAGTTGCCGAGGTGCAGGAGAAAGCCTTCGTGCATGCAGAGAAGAAGCGGCAAGTGTATAAGCGGCAGGCGCTGATGGGTTGTACTCCACTGAATTCGAGCGCATAGTGCTGTAGGGCATGCGGTCGCGAGTGCCTGAGTCAGGCATGGCTAGTGAGTCATGAGCGAGGCTACTCGGGGCCAACACCGAAACGACGACGAGTCCTGCAGATTAGGCAGAACTAGCGCAGCGGTTGTAGGTACGCTGCATCCGATTTACTAACCACGTGCTTGGTGGGTTTGCTATATTGTCCTAATGCTTTTTCTATCTCATATTAATGTCTACCCGAACTATTTTCTATAAGCTTGCACAGATTGCACTCAACATTGATAACATTTTCGCGCTTGTGGCATTTCCTTAAAATATATTTTCTGACGTCTTGAACCTTTCGCGGATTTGTTCGTAACCAAGTTGTTTCATATGCTCGTTTAGTGAAGAGTTATGTCAGCCTATCTGCATGCATTATTCGATTTATTCTACTTGATCTCGTCGTTTCAAGTGATTGGGTGTTGCTTGATACCCCCGGTGTGGTTGTGTTTGATGTGCATGTTGACAAGGTGCCTACCTGTCTGTTACCCACTACCTCGTCCATACTGGCTCCAGGAGACAGTTGGTCGTCGCTGGAGGGGACGGGGTGCACGGTCTTTGTGGCCGTGCTAGGCTCGAAGAGTGGTTCCATGCACTCAGTGTGGAGCGGACTACGGTCCAGCCACCGCCATGTGTGACTGATTCCTGAATACGGCATGCATATGTTTGCCTGTGAAGCTGTGTAGGTGGGCTCCGCTGATGAAACGTGGCTCCCATCCACATGAATCCCGGTCTTATTCCTCCGGGTTTACACTGGATATGGGGTGTGGTTGGAACTGTGGGTGGTGCGACGCAAGCAATCTATGGTCTCTCTGTAGGCGCAGGCGTCCTGTGGTTGTCCTATGGCGACCACAGTGACAGGCAAATCCGGATACGGATGCCGGCAACCATGTATGTGTAAGTGGACATGGTGAGTGAACTTGTGAAGTGTGACTGAATTCGTTTGTTTGCTTTGTTCGCCACCATGTGAACGGATAAAAGGAACTCTTCGAACTGGATGACGTCCATGAGGTGGGGAAAATCCTCTGGAAGGTGAAGAGGCAGTGACCTTATTTAACGGCGACACACATCCGCCACGTTGCAGTGTTGTTAAGCAGACCTTTGTGGCTTTTTATAGGAATAACGCTTGTCAGGCGAAAACCCATTGCAGATCGATCACGGATAGACGATTCATTCAGTAAGATTGTACGCCGCATCTCACTGCAATGAGGATAGCACTTCGCATGGTGGTGAAACTTTTGCAACAAAACGGCCAAGCTCGGAGAACAAATGAACAATTGAAACACCAACTCGAGCTACCAGTATTCCGAAACATTTTAAACCCACCACGTCCTGGAACACTGTCGCTGACCTATTGGCTGGAACGGGAGTAAACCGAACCACCCAGTTAGCACCACGTGGAGGTTGTTCGGCTAGACAGTCGTCTACATCACGGACTGATAAGCGTCGAGTTGTGGGTTCTAGTTCACAGAGGCAATATGGAACGTGTACTGCTGACGATAACTGTCTGAGTCTAGAAGTCATGAAAGCCTGATTCCAATTTCTTTGTACCCTATTGTGTTCAGCCTCATTTTCTGCGCATTGCTGTCTACTCGTATTCTGGCGACGTGAGTTGTGGCAACTGGATATACCGCATTTCGGGGCTGTGAATAGAAGGATATGAGGGGAAGGACAAGTGATGAGTTGGTCAAAAGGAATGAAGGTTTTCACTTGTAACGGCGTCGGTTGTGATATCATGCATCTTTGCGTGTGTCACTGTTACTATACTTCTCCTATCCGTTACACTTTTAGCTCTCGTCTCTATTCAAAGACAAAGAAAGCCTGATTTCCCAAATCATGATTCCTCACCCTCTGATATGTCCCTGACCGAAGGACGAAGAACACATCTGGTTAGATACACCTAGTGGACGTGGCGAAGTGCTGACTCCAATGGCCTTTGTGTTATGAATTTCTTTGTCCCGCCCTACCCTTTAACTTCAGCCTCCAACTCCGATCTCTTTCATGAAGCATAATTTGTTACTAACAAGTGCGTTACCTGCTTTTTTACTCTATAATGTTTGGTGCCGCGCTTTCTCGTATATCTATCCTTTTGTATTGTGGCGCAATAGCTGAGGTGCGTTTCGCACCTTCAGCTAATGTGTAGTGATGATGATGACTCATCACAATGATGATTTAAAAATCGTCTCACAGAGGGGAAATTTGTAAATCTAAATGCGCTCTTGAATTTTGTCTACCAAGTCCAAATATTACTTTTTTGACCTAACCACTGAATCTTTCTTAGTCGTTTGTTACTACATTGTCTGCGCTCTTCTCAGGTGTTGAAAAATGATACTATAGCGATATCGACCATGAAATCCGGAGAAGTTGTACCTTGGCGCTCGAACTGAATAGCCGGAGTAACCAAAACACGTATGAACACACTTAGGTGTCAGCCTGTCTAGGTAGAGGGGCACCAAATAGTGGTTAGCCCGATCAATCAACATCAGTATCGTGACGAAAATCATGCAGCCGTTTGGATTCGGGAGGAGAAATGCCCGGACTATAGGGTAATACGCACGAGAAAACAAGAATCAATGGAGTGATGAACAATGAAGCACGACAGAACATCAATGACAGAGATCATGCAGGTAAAGTTTAAGAGCTTACTTCTTGATTTTGAGCCGCGCCTTTTCTTTCTGTCTCCGTTTGTGGGCATTTCTTGAATAATTATAAGCAGTCCTTTTACCCATTGTAGGCGGAATAAAGATTTACTGGAATGACAGTTTAGGGGGAGACAAATTAAACGATTGTATGCAATCTGTGATTCGGTGCCGACTACTACTAGTAACTAGATGGGTGGGTCAAATGACCTCACAAGTAAGGGTAGTAGCTGTTTTCATGATCATTATCATAAAAATACACGTTCGCTAGAAGTAAGAACACCTTAGCCATTGTGCCACAATACATCAGAGAAACAAACGCAACCCAGACGCGCCAGCTGAGTCACTAGTAACGGATGAACATCGTCTCGGAGAACTAGCAGCTGGCTACCTTACCGCAAAAAAAGTTATATCTGGCTCCATGGATGAAAGTGCTTGGAGAAGGAGGTTAAGCCGGAGGGGGGAAGAACTTACAACACAAACACTACTGAGGTCGGATCCCAGCCATGTCAACAAGTGTATCTAACTGAACGTTTAGATCAACTTCGGGGCCCCAACTAGGGAGCGGAGAGGCACCAACCGAGGCCAACTTCGGTTTAATGGCCTCATTCCTCTTGACCATGTCGTCGTTTAGGCTCTCTTTCTCTCCTTCCATCCACACTCCGGTCGCGCAAAGAACGTACGTCGCGTGAGTCTGTATGCTGGAATACGCAACACATGGTCCAGTCATCGGAGCCTGGTGGGTGAAAGCTGCTTGCATGAGGTTGGTAAAAAAGAGCGCGACGCAAGACTTTCGATCTACAGAATACAACTAAGTAAAAAAATGCCCTTCGCACAGAAGGCGGTGTTCCGTCCGTGTCACGAAAGGTTTACTATGACGACCAGCGGAGATGGTCATGCAGTTCGGAACTATGAGGATACAGGATGAGACAGTTCTTCAGTTCAGCTCAGCTAAACAACTATGATCCGGTCAGAGGTACGGTGGATCCAGTTGCTACGAATAACTTCAAAAGAAAAACAATGAAAGTGCATCCTCATTTTCAAGCCGTTTGTAAACTTAGCATTTCAATGGTTAACCTTTGGTAACTTAACAGTTGATAAGCTAAAATGCTGAAAATGCACTCTTTTGAGTACTGTATTCTTCGGACTATAAGGCGCACTTAAAATCCTTATATTTGCTAAAAAGTCGGCAGTGCTTTTTATATTCCGGTGCGCTTTATGTAGGACCCAAAATGCTTACGAAGCGGATTTCAAACTCAAGACTATCAGCCACGCAGTATAACATGGGAATAGAGCAGCTGCGAAACAACATTAATGAATCAATGGTACGGAAATGGAAGAAGCAAAATGACCTGCGCCAAGTAAAGAAGACAGAGTTTCCGAGGGAACAAAGCAATATGGTCAGTTAGAGAACAAAATTGAGCAGTGGATTACTGAACATAGAACAGCAGGTAGAAGCGTCTACAGTCTCCATTCGATTTAAGGCAATAACGGTGGCACGTGATGTGAAGATGAACGACTTTCAAGGACGTCCTTCTTGGTGCTTCCGTTTTATGGAAAGCTGTCATTTCTCCATCCGCACAAGAACTACCACGTCGCAGAAACTGTCAAAGGATTATGAATAAAAGTTGGTCATCTGCCGCACTTACTGCATGAACAAGATCACCGAAAAGTAGATCCAGCCAGACCACATCACAAACATGGACGAGATTCCTCTCAGCATTGACATCCCCGTGAACCGTACTGTTGAGAAAACAAAGAAGTCTATATCTATACGCACCACAGGGAAGGGGAAATCATCCTTCACCGTAGTTCTCGGTTGCCAGGCTAATGGCCAGAAACTACCACCCATGGTCAATTTTAAGTGAAAGACTGCCAAAAGAAAGGTTTCCGGTTGGGGTCATCGTCAAGATCAATCCAAAAGGCTGGATAGACAAGGAGAAAATGAGGGTGGCTGAGAGAAGTTTGCGTCAGGAGACCGGATGGCTTTTTTCACACATCGCCGTCCTTCTTGATCAACGACTCCATGTGCGCCCATCTCACCAAAACTGTCAAACGCCAAGTGAAGAAAACTAATTAGGAGCTTGCGACTATTCTGGGAGGATTAACCAAAGAACTTTAACCGCTAGATATTGGTGTCAACAGGGCGTTCAAAGTTAAATTGCGAGCTGCGTGGAAGCATTGGATGACAGAAAATGAGCACACATTTACCAAGACAGGGAGGCAAAGCCGAGCTAGTTACGCCACTTTCTGCAAATGGATCGTCGATGTCTGGGCCAAGATATCCATCTCAACTGTCGTCCGAGCTTTCACGAAGGCCGGAAACATCAATGAACAGCCAAGCAACAGCAACGACACTGACTCAGAAGATGAGGAGTGATCAGGGCTTGATTGATGCCGCTATCTCCCAACTGTTAAACTCCGACACGGAAGATGAAGAATTTGACGAATTTGTAGAAAAGGAATGGTTGAAAAGTGTATCTTTCTGTTTTATGTGTATCACAAGTGAACAATATTGACAGTTTGTGTTAATGAAATGAAGTAGGTCTGATCTATCCGACTATTTTGTTTCGCTTTATGTGCTTCAGAATCCGCTGCGCCTTATAAATGGAATTAGATCCATTCAATGATACTGCGCTTTATCGTCCGAAAAATACGGTACATAAAGCTTATACTGACTGACTGAAATAACGCTAAGAAAATGTGGCTAAACACAAATGGAAAAATCAGAATGAAATTAAGACAAAAGTGTGCAAAATCAATCGGGGTAGATTGAAAAGTAACAACTAGATGCAGGAACGCCAATAAATGCGTGACCGCACAGTGTCCGATAGAGCCCCCAAACACTGGGATGCACCATCCTGGGGACACCATAAACGAAAGCAGCACAGTTAGGGAAAAAAACCTAGGCTTCAGGGTCTCCAGAGAAGAAGCAAGCATGGACATCATGTAGTGTACTTGAGCAGTCAGAGGCAGACAAGAGAGTGAGAAATCAAGACCTGGGAAATCAGGCTTTATTCGTTTGTGAATAGAGACGAAAGCTAAAATTGTAACATATAGTAGAAGTGTAGTGGCAATTACACATATGTAAGGATGAATAATATCACATTCGACCCTGTGGTGATAAGATGTCATACTTAGATGCCAGTTTACTTATCGATCGAGCTAAACTATTCCGAGCAAACACCCTGAAAGATGGTCGGTCGCCACAAGAGGCAAACTGAAGGACTGTATGCAATCGATTTAGGCCGACATGAACGAAGCTCGAACGCTGGCCGAGAATGCAACAGCAAAAAGATATGTTCGATATTTGTGAGTGGTGCTAATTGACACGAGATATAGAACGAGCTTGTGTTCTATGAATAACAGATTTCTGATTAAGGCCCAGACTTGATATTTTGATTCACTGAGGGTCACTTGACGTGGTGACAGAAGAACCGACACACTGGACTCCAGTCGCTGTTGCTGGACAGTCATCGATTTAACTGCCGAGCGCTCAGCAAATGACGAAAAGCTCGCTACCGGATAGCTGGAGATTTTGGAAATCGTAGTGGGTGGATTTGGTGACGCTGACACAGTTGGACACCCATCCGATGCCATACCAACTGGCCATGTTCAGACATAAAATCGGTGACGAGGCAAGGCGTGGGCTTGATACAGTGGACTTCGGTGATACGGAAGAACAGGAATCGAATCTGTCAGAGATAATCACGAAATTTGACAAGCATTGCAAAGGCCGATCAAACGAGACGTGCGAAAGGTACCTATTTTTTAGTCGCCATCACTTATCGGATGAGTCTTTCGATACCTACAGTTACTGGCTTGCCGAACAACCTCCTCGTGGTGCCAGCTGGGTGGTTCGGGATCATCCTGTTCCAGCGAATGGTTCGGCGGCAGTGTTCCAGGACGTGGTGGGTTTTCGCCTGGCAAGCGTTCTCCCTATAAAAAGCCACATATGTCCGCTTAACAACACTGTGACGTGGCGGATGTGACTCGCCACTAAATAAAGTCACTGCCCCTTGCCTCTCTCTGAGTGGCATCGTAATTCAAGGGTGCGTTGGGCCCCTGGTCCTATGCGGTCCTAAAGGCGTATGAACCATTTGTTTGGTCACCGGCTCCCAACGGGTTGCGATACCCTCATATCGCCCTGCTGCCTTGTAGGTTAGATCCTTGATCAAAGGCTCGGGGTGGGGCTCCCTAAGACAACCCTCTACTTCGGCCTGGGCAACCGGGTAGTATCTCGCCCACTGACGAACCATGGACTTACAACACAACCTTTCACCCGCTGTCTTGCTGTTACCATGCTATCCACTCATGTTACTATGCCAACTGCACAAGCACACGCCACCATTTTACCTACTCTTCCCGTGTACCATTCACACCCATTTTTATCTGATTCCTCTACAACGATCAATCCCACCTATACTGATGAACCTGTTCCCGTGACATCTGCCAACTCAACCACACAGTACTCAACAGAGAGTTGCCGGCCCCAAAGTCGCCTATATTCGCTCCTGCAGCCCGGAACGCAGTTCAAACTTGCAGCTTTTAACGTACGCACATTACTGCAGATCGGTCAGCAAGCTGGAGTTGCACGCACGCTAGAGACCCTTGGAATCCATATCTGCTGCCTGACTGAAACACGACTCCAGGACTCTAACTCGGTCTACCAGTTGGTGTCATCGCTCCACCCACGCACCCGGTTCCATCTCCGCCTCTCTGGTGACGCCGAGTCTGCCGCATCTGGGCAAGCTGGTGTTGGAATCGCCGTCAGTGCTAGAGCCGAGACTGCTTTGATTGATTGGATTCCGATCAATAGCCGCCTTTGTGCGATGAGGCTCCATGGCTCTTGTAAGGTCAGCAGACGTCAAGTCGAAAAGCGTGCTCTCTTCGTGATCTCTGCCTACGCGCCCACTGACTGTAGCTCAGACATCGTCAAAGACCAGTTCTACCAGAACCTTCATGAGCTGCTCCTAAGGGCTCCTAAAACAGACATCATTGTTTTGGCAGGTGACTTCAACGCGCGTGTCGGTCGTCTGCTGCCATGTGAGCGCCACCTCGGAGGACCGCATGGATATGATGATGTTCGCTCAGACAATGGAGAGAGACTG